TCCCTGTACCAGGAGGTGGTATTCATGATTATGCCTTACACGTCTCAAGGCTGTTGTCATAGGAACAGCCAACTGAGAGGCAGCACGTGCAACTGCATTGTGTGATAACTGATGTGACCCACGTTGCTCTAGGCTGGTGTTCAAGGTGATTGATGCAGCAGCTACTGGCTACATGCATATACACATTTAGGGATCAGAGCGACGTGAACAGAAGCTAAGAACTCGCCACAGACTTTGCCCAGCACCCTTTCTGCCCCACAACGCAATGGGGCGTGAAGCTAAGACGGCTCTACACCCGCATACGGTACACCATGCTGTTGAATGTGTTCACCAACTGTTATACATGTACATGACCTCACGCCTTTATTGTTAGCTAAGTGCCTGTGTACACTCTCATTAACCGGATCACGTTGATGCAGAGATCTTTTTGAAGGGACAAGCAAACCCTCACTGCCGTCTGCACATACTGATTATGGATATGATTTTGTGTTGGCTGCTGTGTGTAAAGGGTTTGCTGGTAGACACACCCGTGTGCAGATGCAGTGAAGATCAGGTTGTAATACGTTGCTTGACAGTGTACAGAACATAGGATATTGTCATGCACTAGATCTACTCAATTTGTCTGAAACAGCGAGTGCGTTTGATTATGCCCTCGAATCTCAACTAGCGCTATTCACATCACCCCATGTGAATAGGGTGAATGGATTCGGAGTCGATTCCAGATTTTCAATCGATTCGGAATCCATTCACCCTATTCACATGGGGTGATGTGAATAGCTCGAATCGATTCGCGGGCATAATCGAACGGGTTCATGAACGGATTCATGAATCGATTCGCGGGCATAATCGAACGGATTCATGAACGGAACGGATTCATGAATCGATTCGCGGGCATAATCGAACGCACTCACAGTGAGTCGCTGTGTTTGCAAAACAGTATGGATCATCTTCTATGTAAACACTTACCGGAGGACGAGCCACGTGTTGACTCACAGTCTGCCGACATTGGCTTCGCCGGATAGTCAGTATCCCCACTGGCAGTTGCACCGCGGCGCTTCGCCATGGTACTGGCGACATGTTCCGCTACATGAGGCTGGCTGCGTTGAATCAGATTCAGGAGCGTCTCCACCTGTTCGTCCGTTTTCTTCAGCATCAGCCTCACCACATACTCTGCCAGCTTGAACTTGTCCTCCTTGGCAGGTGCGCCAATATATTCCTCTTCGTCCAGAACATCACTCTCCAGTAGATCTTCCAAGATTGTGGACGCATCCAAATTTGCAAATAAGTACTTGATGTTGTATTTCACACTGTCCGGCATTGTGCCATGCAGAGGCGGAGCACAAAGCCTGCCCACAGGGCCACAGCTTGAACCAATCACTCTTGTCTTCCTCTTCCAGAACTGCTTGCCACGACCTCGAAGCTTACGAAATAATGTCCCAACTATTAGTTGATCACCTGGCCACCAGAGATTCCCGGAACCCAGACCGTCCACATCGATCGAATGCGGAATGGCTCGCTACGCAGACCGAAAATGTCTGAGCAAGAGCAACCCGTATATCACCATGATCAGCACTGCACTGCACTGCAAACTCTTGCGATCGACGTGTAGCATAAAAGTTAGTTTCGTGGCGGCAGATCATGATGTAGTCTTGTAGATCTACATGAAGATGGCTTTGAAACGTTTGATACCGGCTAGCTCAGTCAGTGCGGTCCGCATGGTCTTTGCGGATGGATCTGTCATCGGCATCTGTGCGAGTGCCGGTAGATCTACACCGAGTAGACACGGACGTAGTGAATTTTTAGTGCAGTGGACCTACTACAGTCTACTACTGTCGTGGACATGGAAATCCGGTCGTTTGAACGGGGCCCGCGCCCTCACAGCGTACAGAACGCTGCGTGCAGGGCACATGTAACGATCCGATGCGACTAGCGCGCTGCAGCGCATTATACAGTTACTAATGCATGTGTGTACCGCTTATCCACGGCTGCATGGCCAGCACCCTGGGACCGCTAGACGTGCAACCGGATTTCCATGTCCACAACAGGACTACTACTAAGTACTAGTACTAGTACTAACGTTAGTACTGTAGGGAGTTCAGGCAAAAAAATCAAATTCAGAATTCCCAGGAAAATTCTGTTGGAAATCGAATAAGCACGTCTTTCAAGAGCACACAGAAAATTTCATGTGAAAATCTCAAAGCAAACCTGAGATACAGTCATTTCAATTGTGGTGCCAATCATCATAGAATTGTGTTGAATTGTATGTAAACGTGTATAGCACGCATGGCACAAACTGACAAACGGACCCAGGGGAAGTTGACCAGGGGACATAGTGACAAAAACAAAAAGTTCGCTGAAAAGAGCCCAAATGACAGGCCTATATGATAAGCAATAATGTACAAACATTTCTATGTACAACAACTACCTGACGGCACGTCGCCGTGTATTGTTTCCATGGCAACCCCTAGCAACATTGCAGAAACGCAACGAAACATATCAATGATGACAATATGGAGTGAAAACGTTGCACAAGCGTGGTAAAACAAAAATTAGTAGTAGTAGTCCTGTATGTAGTGTAGTGACTGCAGGGTCGGGTCTGTGGTCGAGCGCAGCTTGGTTTGCCTGCGCTGCGTCACCAGGTCACCATGCATGGACCGCAGCGCTAGCGCAAGCTTGACAGTTGACTTCGTATCTACGTCCCTGGCCTGGACTGCACTGCCACTGGTGCTGCGCTGATCGATTCTGTACTACCGCCGAGCCGCTTCGTGCCATTGCCATTGCATACTGCCCTTTACGGCTTTAGACTAGTGTTGGACTGGTGAGGAAGAGAGGGGATACTCAATAGGGCTTGAAAGTGCTACGTCACTCCATAGCAATGGCATAGCAACAATTTGAAAAATTCGAAAACTGGATCCACCTGGATCCAGTTTTTGTATGGATCCAAGCACATTTCAAGCGGTCTCACTCACAGCAAGGTGATGTTGCCAGTGAAACTGACTGATTTGGCTAGTGGGGGCGGGGTGACAACTGGTGGCGAAGTAAAAGTTGCACCTGCATACGACATGAGTGGGTTGCTATGCACCCACGTACTGAGGCAATAGCAAAGTCACACCTTAGTGGATCCAAAATAGAAATCTGATGTCAATTTACTACTCCCAGGCCGTTTTTGACGTCATCACTTTCAAGCCCTATAGGACTCGCATTAGGACTCGCATTAGGACTCGCATTAGGACTCGCATTAGGACTCGCATTAGGACTCGCATTAGGACTCGCATTAGGACTCGCATTAGGACTCGCATTAGGACTCGCATTAGGACTCGCATTAGGACTCGCATTAGGACTCGCATTAGGACTCGCATTAGGACTCGCATTAGGACTCGCATTAGGACTCGCATTAGGACTCGCATTAGGACTCGCATTAGGACTCGCATTAGGACTCGCATTAGGACTCGCATTAGGACTCGCATTAGGACTCGCATTAGGACTCGCATTAGGACTCGCATTAGGACTCGCATTAGGACTCGCATTAGGACTCGCATTAGGACTCGCATTAGGACTCGCATTAGGACTCGCATTAGGACTCGCATTAGGACTCGCATTAGGACTCGCATTAGGACTCGCATTAGGACTCGCATTAGGACTCGCATTAGGACTCGCATTAGGACTCGCATTAGGACTCGCATTAGGACTCGCATTAGGACTCGCATTAGGACTCGCATTAGGACTCGCATTAGGACTCGCATTAGGACTCGCATTAGGACTCGCATTAGGACTCGCATTAGGACTCGCATTAGGACTCGCATTAGGACTCGCATTAGGACTCGCATTAGGAGTTGAACAAACGAACTACATGTACTAGTAGTAGTAACCGTTACTTTTAATCTTTGCACCTGTTCATTTTCCTGGTGCAGTGGTGGACTGGGCCATGGGAGTCGTGTCGGTGAAAATCCTGTACTGGACTGAACCGTAACCAACCACCTGACATGCAGTGGGCAGGGAATGCAATGGCAGATACAGTCGTCCCTCTATAATCCGGCACCTTTTGCAACGGCGTTTTCTGCTGGATAAACAAGGGTGCTGGATTATCAAATCCTGCCCTCCGATCCAACCCGGCCCACATGTTATCATACATGTACATGTTTGTGTCGTACGTCAAAATGTAGGGATTTTCTGTGTCAAACCAAGTACATGTGGAATGCATGTCTATAACATACACTTGGGAATATCTTATGCACTAGCATAGGATATTCCCAAGTGTATGTTACATGTGTTGTGTATGTTACAATGGTCCCGGACAGTCTGCAATGTACAACTGCTGGATTAGAAAATCGAATTATGTACAGTATGCATGTGGGCGCAGTCAAACTTTCGGTTCTCGGCCAAATCTTGACCAAATTAAACAAGGGTCTAGATGGTAGAGAAAACTCTCAGTCTCAGCTATCGCCTTGAACTGGTCCGAAGTCTCTGTGATGAAGTATTAGTTTGAGTGAGCGGCGAGCGATCAAACATTTCGATTTTCTGCGCTGCGTGCTGCGAGTCACCAGTGCGTGAAAAAAGGGATTTTCCCAGCTTCATAACAGGCGGCACGTGCCAGGACCGGCGCGGCGCGAAGTCACGGCAAGGTAAGCTTCTACTCGAAAAAATTTGAACAGTTCCGAGCTAGATTCAGTGAAATGGCTACAGGAGACCGATTTCGTCTCAGATCTGGAGCTGGACTCGCGTTTGGGGCGCGTTGTGGCGGACAATGAACAGTGCTCTTGGCGAGTTTGGGCTCATTGTATTTCTCTCATCAAGAGCTTTCCAACGAGCCCAAGATCTTCAAAATCGGTGAAGTAGAACCAAAGTTATGTTGGAAATGGAGTGCGCATTTTCTTGACTGCCACAAATAATTCTGCGGAAGCAAAAAGTTACGGACTCCAAAGGCCAAGGTTTTTTTAAAAGCGTAGAAAATGAACTGAAAAATCCGTTTTCCCAGAAAGTGTGCTGGTTTGCAAGGGTGCTGCATAAACAAGTGCCGGATTAGAGAGGGACTGTATCTTTTCAAACGAATCCTGATGACAATGAGTGATATTTGTGGATACTCGACAACATTCCAGTGCAGTAATACTCAGCAGAGATCTGTATGCAGGACGGCGCACTGCGGCACTGGTTGCTTAGCTTAGTCAGCGGCTGGAACTGGAGACCGTCGATGAGTGAAAGTGCAGACCGTGGCGTCCGCGATCCAAACTCTGGGAGAGTTTACTAGTAGTCTTCAGAGGTGCATTCCCAGCGTGCTGTGAGCTGCATCAGGGTGGATGGCGCGCACATGGACTCACTGCTGCACACTACCCGTGACAGGGACAACGAACACGATCGACTCTGATGTAGACTACTATTCCGACTCCGGTAGGTCAACCGTCTCCAGGCGTACTAAGATCATGAAGGCCAGAGAATCACCAAAACCTTTCAAGCAAACGGTCAGCAAATGAATGAAGTGCAATGATGGGATGGAAGCAAGGACGTGAAGACCAGACTTTGCTGGACAGCTAGAAGACGTGTTATGACCAATGCCGTAATACAGCCGAGTAGTACACTGTCAGTGGCCAGGTGAGATCGGTAGAACAGTTCAGATGAAGACCTTTTAAATTTTGACGTTAGAAGTCTACAAATAACTACGACTTCTTGGGTGGATCCAGTGGGACTAAAGTGGGACTAAAGCCTTTTCTACTTCCCTCTAGACTTTTAAAAAGGGGAAGTATACCCTAAAATCAAATTTTCACCAGTTGTAGTCTTCGGGGTGCTGAGTCGAATGGTCTTGGTCCGAGGAAGCTGAGACGCTCCCTTCCTACTTGAATCCCAATCGAACTCGCGCACTTCCACCGAAAATGGGTGACTGCGCCCTACTAGATGGGGATTTGTATGCAAAATGTCACTAAAAGCGCCATTTCGTTCTTATAAAAGCATGGATGACCGCGATTGGCCCATATGTTGTAGTCTTTTGGACGCTGAGTCGATTGGTTTTGGTCCGAAAAGGCTGCGATGCAGCGTTCCTCCTTTATTCCCAATCGAACATGGTTGAAGAAGCGGTCACATGCTCCTGCGTACGCCAGTCACCTGGTCACCGTGCCTGCAGGGTACAACTTACTAGCCTGTTTGACCTTTTTTGGGTGCAGTCCTGTCACTCGAGTTGAACCTTGGTGTGAAAGTTGTCGCCTGCTGGCGTAGTGACCAGGTGATTTGGGCACCCAGGAGCACGTGACCGCTTGTTCAACCATGTTCGATTGGGAATAAAGGAGGAACGCTGCATCGCAGCCTTTTCGGACCAAAACCAGTCGACTCAGCGTCCAAAAGACTACAACATATGGGCCAATCGCGGTCATCCGTGGTTTTATAAGAACGACATAGCACTTTTAGTGACATTTTGCATACAAATCCCCATCTAGTAGGGCGCAGTCACCCAGTTTCGGTGGAAGTGCGCGGGTTAGATTGGGAAAAAAGAAGGAAGGGAGCGTCGCAGCTTCCTCGGACCAAGACCATTCGACTCAGCACCCCGAAGACTACAACTGGTGAAAATTTGATTTCGGGGTATACTTCCCCTTTAAAAGTAAATGGAAGTCGAATACAATGTATTTTGTGGTCAGGCCCCTTACGTCACAAACACCAAAGTAGATTCAATATATTACCAGGAGTACTGTAACATAGCTGCAAGAGTGTACAGCTGTCTGTACTACCTCTACCCAGTGATGCGACGGCAGCACTTCGCATCACGTGACATGCTCCAAAAGGTTACACTGGGAAGCAGTGCAAAGTCACCACAAGAGAGTTGAACCTAAAGCAGGGCTGAGTAACGCCCTGGATCTATAATGCCCTGAGTGCAAATACTTCGAAATAATGTGTACGGGTTTATCACGTGATGAAAGTTGCAGACCCCATAGACTAGAGTATCCCACTCTTGGGTGGGGGGGGGGGGGGGGGGGGGTTAAGAACTCTTGCCACTACTCATAAACATGCTACGGTGCTGCTCAATGAAATCCAGTCGCGGCACTAAGGTTCGCGCCGGCCATTCCGAAGCCCCAGACCTGCGAACACTGGGCTGCAAAATGGTGCCAGACACAAACTCGAGTGACGCGACTGGATTTCCCTGAGCAGCATTGTACGATGTGTTTGGTGTAGATCTTACTGCGATATACACAGCGTAATGGTATTCTAACTGACCAGATTGTACTGTAGTGTAGAGGTTTAAAACGATTACACCATCAGTTGAGATGTTGCCTTGGCGAATTCGCGGAACGGCTATTCACTAGTAACTCATGCTGTAAAGTGTATACATAGTGCCCATCTGCCGTTTCCCTGCCTAACAGTGTATACATAGCGCCCATCTGCCGTTTCCCTGCCTAACAGTGTATACATAGTACCCATCTGCCGTTTCCCTGCCTAACAGTGTATACATAGTGGCCGTAAGCAGTTCTGCTGAGTCACCACCATGACATCATTCACATAACCTCTATTGACTATAGTGGTATTGTCCCTGGCCAGACTATCCTCAGTGTACTATAGTGAATCAAGTTACCCGTGGCACCGGTTTTGAATGGCATTCTCAAACAGATGTTTGCAATAATGTAACATGGGTTATGTTTGCGGTGAGAAATGATTTGCATTTTGTGGAATCGAATCCAGTTCAGGCCACACTGCGATTGTGATTGTATTTTGAATGCAGTTCAAACTAGCACTGTTTGAGTGAAGCTTGAGTAGGTCAAAGTTCACAATTGGCACCCCTCTTCACAGCATCTATACATGAAAAGGGTAGGACTTGTTGCTTATGCCATATTATATAATATCTTTTTTTTATTCTTTTAGTTTATATATTATATAAACTAAAAGAATAAAAAAAAGATATTTGTGTGTAAAAAAAAGAGTAGAAAACACATGAGCAGGGTAATGCAGCAACCATCCACGTCTGTAACAAGATGATAAAGAGTCATAACGTGCGATAATAGGGCACAAAACTGACAGGCTACTGAGACATTCAGCGACCTGAGACCGAGCTCTAACACATCTCCAGTGCACAAACCAACAGCCTTCCAACTTGGAAGGTTCATGGTTACGTAGGACAGAAGAGGGGAAGGTTTGTGTTTGTGTGTGTGTGTTATCACTTTCAACTGCCCGCTAATGATAATATTATGATACTCTTCTAAACACTTCACATTCTTCTGTGCTGGCTAGGTCTCACACCGAGGAGCAGTACAAGCAAGCATGGACTGATTGTCAGTGTTCAAGTACAGGGAATCACCATGCAACACAGAACATGCAGTTTGTCCACCAACAAGTGCAATGTCAACTGATAGCCGAGTAGCAAGGTAAGACCAAGTTCAGCTGCAACTGAATCAGATAATTACATGTACACTCATTTGATGTATATTCACGATGTGTACAATCATGTTGTCCCCCAGGCCCCAGTACTTTCTGTCCTGTTCATTATACAGTCAGACCTCGTTTATCCGCTCCTCTTTTATCCCGATCCATCGCCATCCAGAAGAAAATCGCTGGTTACCGATGTGCAGTACATGTTACGCATACAACATAACCGGACCTCGCGATCCGCATACCGGTGCATGGTTTTGTGTACAAACTGGTTGAAATGTGCAGAAAAACTTCGCTAGTTGTACTGCACAGGACGCGTCTACATGTATGTACGATGCCACTCCTTTTGATATGCCACATGCATATACAGAATGTGTGTTCAGTTATCCGGTTCCCTCGCCTATCCGGATATTTTTTGTGGAAACGGATGTGTGCGGTTAAGCGAGGTCTGACTGTACTGCAATAGTTTGCCATACAATGTACGTCATGTGATAGTACGTTGCTATGCCAATACCCCACTTATTAGGAAACCAGGCCACCTGCCTCGTAGTACTGCTCTTTTCTCTCCCAAAATCAATACATGTACTGTATAGCAGTACCATACATGTACTGTATAGCAGGACAATTTCGGACGGAATTTATTTTCGTACGATTTCGTACACGGCTTCTTTTGTACTAAAATTAATTCCGTGCTAAAATTTGTTCATTTGAAATTATGTACTTCAAAGTACACTAGACATGATGTACATGATGACCTGGCTCCCGTTCAGGACTAGTGCGTGCGTAGTGTGTGTGGCGCAGTGCAGTGCAGTACAGCTAGCTACATTTTGTTGTAGTCATAGCACACATGCCATGTGCCTTGGCACGCGCGTACTGCATGCGAACACGTGCATTTAGCATGCACTGTACAAGTACGAAAATAAAATCCGTACGAAGGGTCGAAATTCGGCTTTGTCCAAAAATTTTCCCGCCTGAAAATTCCTGCTATCCAGCACTGGCAAGCCAGATACGTAAGAAAGAAAAAATCATCAGTCACACCACCGGGACTCAAATCAGAGACCTTGCTATTCGCAAACAATGCTCTAACCAACTGAGCTACATCATGACTCAAGAAACAAGAGAGTGCAACTCCCGGATGGGTTGGCGAAACTTTTCGTTGACGTAATCTTTTCTACGGCGCACGCGCTGCGAGTCTTTTGGGAAATTTTGCCTCGTGCGCTTGGCCGGGCTCAAGGGCGACAAGGCCGGTGCCCAGCACGTGCCCTCACACTGCTCTGCGACAAAATGCGCGTGCTCTGTTCGACACGCGTCATGTTTTCTGATAAAGGTGACATCCACAAAAAATCCGCCATGGGCCGGGGTGTCTGCAGGTTGTGCAGAAGAAATGCGGAATTGCACGCTCTTGTGTATCTACTTTTGCTCTGTTCTACGGTGAGCAGGTGGTCTAGTTTCCTAATGCTTTGAAATCCTACGTGAAGTCCAACAATTTAATTTGAAATTTTAATTTGCGTTTGCTCACAGGGGACATAGTTTGATGCGCTCCCATTGATATCGAGCAAATGGCTGAGGGCCCTCTTGAGTGGCGTGAGATGCCAGTACGCTTGTTGATTGATCTATCCTTCTTCCCCTGTGAGCAAACGCAAAATTAAAATTTCAAATTAAATATTTGGACTTCACGTAGAATTTCAAAGCAGTAGGAATCTAGACCACCTGTCTCGCACTGTTCTGATACTAGAGATAGATGGAGTCATACTGTAGCTCAGTTGGTTAGAGCATTGCTCGCGAATAGCAAGGTCCCTGGTTTGAGTCCCGGTGGTATGACTGATGATTTTTCTTTCTTTCGTATCTGGCTTGCAAGTGTTGAGTTTCAAACAGAAAAGACTTTGAACTTCTCCGTTATTACGTCCAAATTTGAAATACCCCACTTATTAGGGATGATCTTAGAGTCGTGTTTTCCTGCTGGTGTTTTTCTGCCTTGCCCAGACGGATATGTGGACGTCAGTGCAGAACGCCTTTGTGATGGGCAATGTAGCCTTGCAATTGCAGCTGGTGGTGCTGGTGGTTGGAGGCAGGGTAGTCCCAGCAGAGTAGATCATGCGAAGATCGAGTCTTGCTCATCCTCCGGGTGGATACCTGGCAGTGCAAGAAAGCTCCTTGGCACATCACACAATGTGGGTCACAAGAATGACGCTCAGCAGAAATAAATCCATATGCTGCCACTTTCTCTTGCTGGTTGTGCTGCTGCAAGTATCAACCGGTTGTGAACTGTTTTTCCTCTCGCCCTCTCCTCATCAAATAATTGTTTTATTGTGAACTAGCCTCTAGCGTGGCAGGTTAGCATCCCTCTGCTCTTGTGGCTCACAACCAGCATCACCCACTCCCGACTTTCTGTCTGTCTTTTCCTCACACTGTGTCTGTCCGTCTGTCTGTCTGTCCGTCTGTCCGTCCGTCTGCCTCTCTCTCTCTCTCTCTCTCTCTCTCTCTCTCCCTCTCCCTCTCTGTCTCTCTCTTTCCCTCTCTCTCTCTGCTGGTCTGTGTGTGTGTGTCTCTCTCTTCTCTCTCTCTCTCTCTTTCTCTCTCTCTCTCTCTCTCTCTCTCTCTCTCTCTCTCTCTCTCTCTCTCTCTCTTTCTCTCTATCCCTCTATCTTTCCCTCCCTCTCTCGCTCTATCTATCCCTCCCTTTCTCGATCTTTCTCTCTATCCCTCCGTCCCTCTCTCGAAATCCTAGAATAAGTCTCCCAGTATGATAGTAGGGAGGTTTAGTCCCACGTAATCCGTGGGTACTTTACGTGTGTGTACCACGTGATACTCAGTGACCCGCGTACAGACGTTTTCTGATTCACGACATATCGTGTATGGAGGCTCACCCACGTTCCGCCAGAACGTGGGTGAAAATCAGAATGGAGCGCATTGTGCGAGCTGTGAGGGTGCTCAGCTGAAGAAGTTTCCGAAGCACGAAATCAAAATATTGGATGAGCTTCTTAGGCCGGGGTAGCTTCGTCTTTGACCAGGTTTTGGCCTTTAGCTTCTTGCTTTTGTTTGTTCCGTGTGACTAAACACAACATTGCAACGTGGGTGCCCTTCATCCACTTTACGTGGATCACCCACGTACGCGTTTCCGTTACGTGGGAACTAAACCTCCCTAGTGTCCTGTAGCTATGCGGTCTGTCTGATGTTTCTGTAGGAGTTGCATTTTGGTATAAAGTATATTTTTCACAGTAAAAGAGTATTTATTTGTAGAGCTTGTGTGGATACAGATCCCTAGGTTCAAACCCCAAGATGGGCAGTTAGTTACATTTTTCTCTCCTTGCGTATTTGTATCTGCATGTTATTACCCTTGCCGTGAGTCGCTCGTGAGTCGTGTATGGCTAAACCCGTATTTCCCCACTTTACCCGTATGACTGTCTGTTGTGAACTGTGATTGGTTGCTAGTATAATGTTCCAGAATGTTCCAGAGCTGTGAACTGTGATTGGTTAATCATGCTAATGTTTCTAGAATTTCGTCGGCGACTGGTTTTCGTAGATTGCTGATTGGTTAATGACCTAAAACATGGCTGCCGGTTGCCGGACTTTTGTTCCCTTGCTTTCTTTTTTCTTGTTGCCTTTCTATCTCTTTGCATTCCAAGTGTGTATAATATTTCTTTCCTGATAACTTCTATATCTCTGTTCAAATTGTCTGTTGGTTGGCGGAGTTGGCAGAAACGTTTGAGATGAACTTATCGTGTGGTGGATAGGGAGTGTGAGCACAAAGCCAAGTTGCATGCTTCACCCATCAAGTTTTCGCAGGCATTAATCTGCGCAGGGTCCACTCCTATATCCTCTGCTCATTTTAAATACAAGTTGCGAATATTTCCGATTTCATGAAGGCAACTTAGGCCGACGGTTATGCAGGGCTTGAGGTGAGAGCTACCATCTTTTTAACTGCATGATGTACGTTTCCAAGGTTACTATAACAAAGTGCTGTCAAACACCGGGCCTCCTTATGTACATGCATCGTTACGAGATCAGCTAGAAAATGTTGTTGCCAGGCAACGGCCAAAGTGTTGGATCGAGTATGACACTACTCATGCAATGCAATGCTTATGTCAGTGGTGAGTGTCGCATTACCACCGTTGTGCTGTGGGTATCATAATACCATGGTGCTGTTGAGTATCGCATCCCCCCCTTTGCTGTGGTGTATCACATTGCCAATCACTGATATCAGACCTGCTCTACCGATATATTGTGCTTGCCACTTGATGGAACAAATCAATTCAAAACATGTGCCCTACGGCTGCGGTAGGATATTAGGAATGTACTTGTAACAGATGATGTGGCTGGTGTGTGCTAAAAATCAAGAAGCCATGCTAGCAAGGGATACACTAGACTGTGCGGTAGGGGTCAAAGGGGTGTACCGGGTACCCGGGTACCCGCCCGTTAATCTCAGGTACCGTTAGTAAAAGGGTACCCGTTTGGATTTTGATGATCCAGTCAGTACGGAACAACACTGCTGGGATTGCGCATTCCAGGTGGGGTTCAATTATTTACAACTCCACGCTCGGTGTCCGCATTGTTGTTGCATTTTCGCAGCAAGTAGATCTACCTCTGAAACTATCAGACACATATTAATTTGCGAATCACAATGTGATATCAAAATGCAACCTGAGAACAGATAAATTAAAATCTTGATTTCTGTGAAAATTGGGCAAAAAAATAAACATGACCCTACTGTGCGGTCACATTGTTCATGGCAACCGTAGGCCGTGAAGCAGTTAGGTCAACTGTGTACCAATTTAGAAGATTCAATTCTGATTGCTGAAGGAAAGTGTCTTTAGTTCATTCACAATTATGTGCCATAAACAATAGGTTTTGACTTGGCTTGCGGCAACTGGTCATGAGTTAGCATTTCTACCTTGTCACACAAATGGTAGCGGACTACTAGCGGTGCCGCTGTGACTTTTGATGAAAACCTTTAAAATGTGTGTCAGTGATTCAAGGGTAATAGCATGAACTAGTATGTACAGGGTATGGCTGACACTGCTATGGCAATATACATTCCAGTGTAAACATTTGTAGAGTATAGTTTTCCAGGTTTAACTGACATAGCGGTAACTATTCTGTACAGTGACTAGTGTAAAAACAGTAGGTGAGAGTAGACATGAACACATTCAGTAAAACTGATACTGTAGTAGACTGGACTAGACAGTACATGTAGTTCAGTTGATCATTATATCTACATAGTAACACAACAGTGTGTGTCATAGACAATCTGTATACATCATGTCTATACAAGTGATGCCACAGTGCTGTGATCAATGACAGGTAGTGTGCTGTTGGAGTATCTCTTACTGCAGTAGCTGCTTGAAATGATCCCTGTCCAGTGCTGGTCACTTTCACCAATCTCAACTGCTAAACACTATCCAGTAGAGATCCTCAGAAGCTCAGCTAGCCCTGTAGAATGTACCACGGCGAGAGTGCACATACACACACACACACACACACACACACACACACACACACACACACACACACACACACACATGCACCCAAACACGCACACATACCAAAACACACACACGCAGGCAGACACACCCATTTACTTGAAGCCCTGGGCGTAGAATTGGTCGTATCAAGAGTACATAACCCCCAGAGTGCGCAACTGGGATGGGGTTGTGAGACGTCGTAATCCGTGATGTACATATTTTTTTGGGTCGGACTTGCCTCATTCCATCGACGCGGTGTACCACGTCCACACTTCCCCTACTCATGATGTCATTATTATGACGTGGAACATGGATTTCGCCGTCCCAGATCTAAGTGAACTTGCGCACTCTGGGGGGTTATGTACTCTTGGTCGTATGGATTGCATGAGTTGGTGCTAAGTCATTGTTATAATAATCATGACTCATAATGACATCATGCCTGGTATCTGCAGGCAACTAATGTACACATTCTGGATATCATAAAGCTGTCAAACAGGTGACCGTATAACAGGATACGTTACACACATACTACAGAACTTGCGACGACATTTCCTGCAAGGGTTTTACGTTTATGATTGTATCTATAGAGAGGTTTTGCATTCCGAATTTCGGAATTATTTTCGGAATGTGGCGGCAGCAGTCGAAAAAGTGTAGTATCCCTGCTTTACAGTACACATGACTAGTAGTACATGTAATTTGCATGACTCTTATTGTTTAGAAGCATACAGTACTTCCTACATTTACGATTGTTCTTCCATGATCCTTGCATGGCGCCACTACACACTGGAGAGTAGCTAGACCAACACTAATTATCAGTAGTCTTCATTGTTTCCAAAATACAATACTTGTGCCGCTATGCTTCATTTGCAAGAGGTCCTTGTGCAGTTGTATGGACTTATCTTCACTGTGATATCAGTCTCATGCTCCAATGCTTCCTTTGTAGCACTTAAGCGTGCTGCGAGTAATCAATGGCATTTCCAGGTTGCTTGCTAGACTATCGCATACATTCTTTAGCTGTTTTGCTGCCTGCTGCTTGTTTCCCGCAATAGACCCCAGCTGAAGCTTCCTAGCTGGCCTCCTTGCCAACAGCCTTGTTAGATTCTGTATAAGTATTAGTTCTCTAGTTTTGCATCTCATAGGAGAGAGATCAGAGAGAGGAGAGAGTCGTGGTTGAGAGAGAGCAAGTTCACTTTCACTTTGATATAAGATAACCTCCAGGCCGTGCCGGAGTAAGTTCAGATACGTTGGTTGACTGACTGTGGGTAGTAGCCTCCTAGCCTTAGACCACGCACGTTACATTGGTGGCAGCGGTGGGATAGAAATTTGTTGTCAACTTCTGGATTCGTCCTGCGTGGCCTTCGACACGTACGTTACAAAAGTAGTCGAACTTTCGGAAGTGTGGTGGCGAAAGTGCATGGTTTTCCGAAAATGGATTTTCGGCTCTTTCATGTTTGGGAGTGCATATTTGAATACAAAAAAAGTGTATTTTTCATGTTTGTATTTTTGCTTTCTGCTGATCTCGATTATTTGAAATTTTTTCCACGTACTTGTATGTAGTTTTGATTTTTGCTGGTTTTGCTGCTCTCGCTGATCTCGCCATGTTGACTAATCTTCTCACACTCCATCACACTCTATCTTCCTTTGCCATGAAGCCTACTGACAGTACAAGACAGTAGTTCGCCAACCTCGTCTTCAGCTGTTGGATCACTTGGTCCACCATCAGTCCGTCCTCGTCTTCGAACCGCACCCAAATAATTCAGTTTGACCTGCACACATGGATTTGATCCTGCTCAACCCCTTCGACGCTCTCCATTTTGTTTTCATGGCAACCCTTGGAAACGAAGTCGAATCAGATTTTCGGAATGCAAAACACTGAAAATACCGTTTTTCGGAACGCGCTTTTTTCGGAAAAGCACAGTCGAAAATCATTCCGAAATTCGGAATGCAAAACCTCTCTTATGTCATTTGGATCTTCCCAAGTTGTACATTGTACTGTTGAGATACCGAATTCAAATAAATCAATACCAAAAATACCAAGGGAATTTTCCCGATATATTCCACTATTTTTATATTTGGTACGCATATGCTGAGCCAAGGAAAACAATTTGCGAGATAGAAATAATTGTGGGCACAAGTTATGCGATTCCATATTACAAATTTTATATTTGTTCCCACTTATGCTCCACCCCCTCCCCCCTCTTTCTTGTCCCACACACATACACACAACCTAAAATCTCGACAGTATGCAAAGAAGCAGGCACACACGCACACCACGCACACACACACACACGCGCACCCACACACACACACACACACACACACACACACACTTGTACTTGCTCACTGCCAAAACTGGTCACGTGGGTCTCCCCGGGAGAGGGGAGAGAGACTCAAAAGGAATCTTGGAAAGATGACTCAATTGGCCATTGAACCACCCAGCGGCCGACACCCCCTGAAATCCCCAAACTAGGGTGGACTTGAAATGATCCCACTTATGGGCTCACCACACCTCAGTAAGTGGGTGAGGACAAGGTGCAGAAAAAGGATTGACGGCATCAGGGTATCCGTCCCGGGATCCAACTGCAGGTACCCCTGCCCCCAGTGAAGGTAATACTTGGTACTAGTGTGGGTGGCTAAATCAGAGTGGATCTGATATAAGCTTCACTAGCACCATTGATTACACAAGAGTTAATCTAGCCAGAAGCAGTCCATGGTTAACAGGTATGTATACTTCAAATAGAAAGTATATGAACCCTGAGACCAACAAAGGTGGTAGATACAACAATACACCTTCAAGCAGCCGAGCCCGTTAGCAACAGGCCCAACACTATCTGGCATAAGTGTACCCACCAACCGAACTAGCTGGCACACACACACACACACACTCCGGGTCGCTAATCCTGGTATACACCACCATGCAGTTCACGAGTTTCTGATTGCGCGAGACAAAGACGAGAAGAGGCGTGGGTGTTTGTGACGGGATAAGTGGCTTCGCCTTTTAAGTCACTTCTGGCAATTTCGGCATTGTAGTTGGAACGTGTCTCTTTCATCGGCAGTTGGGCGCTTGGTGGACCGGTCACACGGTTGTGGAGAAAAAAAGCCCTGGATCGATTTGCAGCAAAGTTCAAAATGGCATAGTATGCCGCTGTACAGCATGGTTTCCGGATACATGAACATACAGGTACGGAGCTCCCGGCATCAACATCATTAGAGACAGAACTGGACTGGGTACAGTGATGAACTGCAA